CAATCTCTTATGCAAGTCAATCAATTAAATAAAAAGCTGTGTATGTGGGGGGAGGTGACAGTCTAATCTGGGTACTGAAACAGGGTTAAATGCCTTCTGTTGCATAGGGAGCACTGCAAGAAATGGCCTTCTGAAAACAAATGGGGGGTTAATAAGTTAAAAAAACCAAAGCAGATTAGCAGTTTGGAACACCTAGACAACCTCCTTCCCTCAAAAAAAAAAAAAAAAAAGCAGATTTTAGGAATTTAAAAGGCAAGAAGTTGTTTTTAGGACAGCAGAACAAGCACCACACCTCATACGCTGCTGTAGTCAGGAGGAATCACATTTTGAGCATATCAGATATTGATTCAGCTGGCTTTTCAACAGATGAAAGATGGAGGGCATGGTGAGAGGCACCGATCCTGAGAAGGGCAACCAGGGCACCCTCATGTAACCCACCCCTTCCAATGCCTGCAGCACTAGGAAGTAGTTTTCCAATACAGAGTTCTAATGGAAAGTACATTTAACATCAACAATCCAGCTCCTGGCAACCAGCCTAGAATTTAAATTACATTTTGTATGAACAGTATGCAAACGAAAAAAAAGGACAAGTGGCCTTTAAATGGCACTGGTTCTGTGTTTCCCTCTTACCAGCTTCTTTGCAAGCCATTTAGTGATTGCATGAAAGGTATGTTAAGGATAAATTGTAAGAGATTGCCTTCTTGCATGGTTTGCTTCCAGGAAGAGCCTCCTCCCAGGTCTGCCCACTCACTTCGCCATCAGCCCAGGGTAATAGCTGAAGGAGAACTGCACAATAACTGCACTTGCCTTTTCTGACAAAAGCTGCTCAAAACTGGTTTACTTCCTAAAACGCAGGTCTAGGCAAAAGTGAAAAGCCCAGCATTGTGCTATCAAAGGAAAAGCTAGAAAATGCTGCTTTTTTCAAACCAAACCTCCTTAAGAGGTCTCTGGGATACTCCCCGGTAAATTGGGAAAATGTGCATTTCCTCACCTTCACCGGAGTGGCTGCCAGGCACTTCCCACACAAAAGTACTCAGCTGCTGTTCTGAGCGGCTGAAGCCACCAGATGAGACGGCTCTGCTGAGTGACCAGAAGTGGTCTGGATGAACAGGCATTTAACCTTTCAAGTTCCTGAGCCCTCCAGAGGCCTGAGGTTTGCCCAGTCTGTGCAAATGATGTACAAGGCTGACACTACAGACTTTCCCACATCTCCAGTCCCATCATCTGCCTTCTTGGATACCAGGGTTCTGACCAACTCTAAAGGGCCTGTAGTCACGTTGACAGTATTTGCCTCAGTCACAATGCCCTTTGCAGAGCTTCACAGTCACAGGATCTGTCCTTGCTGCTGTCTCCACGGGATTCTCTAACAACACAGCCTTATGCCCACGCTGGTTTGAATGCCAGGATTTGCCTTCTGCAGACAAGCTTCAATGTCTCCTCAATCACTACAAACACTTAGAACTTCTACTTGTAACCTACCGCCCAGTTTTCCTGTTTGCTGTCCACCTATACGTTCTGCACGGCAAAAGGATGAAGCTGAAAGAACTCCCTGTACAGTTCCTACAACAAAAGTCTTAATGAAAAAAAAAAAAATAAAATCCAGTGGTCTACTACTGTTATTACCTGAACTACACCCTTATGGTGAAAAATTTTCAATTTTTTCAGACAGTTGAGGAAAGATTTTAAGAACACGCAATTTAACACCAAAGACTAACAATTATTATGCTGGGAAGTAACACAGCACAGCCCCTCTAATGTTATAAGCCAAGGCACTTGCTGCTGACACACCAGCACTCTGCCTGGTTACAGAAGTGCCTGTGGCAAAACGTAGGAAAAAGCAAAGCCCTTCACACAGTGCCAGATACAGGTGCTAACACCCTGCTTTCAGGTTTTGAATGCCTTTGCGTGCAATGCTCTTGTTCAAGTCTTTGTATAATGTGTTACATTAGACACTTCCAGAAATACATAAATATATTTTGTTCTTAAAGGGATGTATTAAGACAGTTTTAAGGTGGAACAAATATCCAAACCAAAAATTAAGGAAAGCACCTGATTGTTAAGTTTAACTATTATTTGCAGGGTCTAGTTTAAGAAAGAAAGCTTTGCTGGTCCAACTGAGAAGGCGAAACAAACGACTGGCAAGAAAATTAATAAGCACAGTTAATACATTCACATGTGATGTTCAGATGGTATTCTGGCAGCATCCCAGCAGTGAAACAGCAGTAGTCTTTCACGATAACCTCTCCAGCTATGATGCACTGACAGATTTAGTGGAAGATACTATCCCGACTGCATGATTATTTTCTACCCTCTTGAGCAGGAAAGACACTGAAGGGCAGCATACAGCTTGTCAGACACAGCAAAGTCAGCATATGCAGACAGAAATACGTGCATTTTCTACAGCTAAGATCTCATACCTCAGAATGATATTTTGGAAATTACAGGCTGGAAAATTGAATGATTCAGAGATTATTTTTTTCCTCACGTTTCCTCATTTTTTTCTGCTTTTCCATATCCTATCTACAGTTGCAACATGATGCTTTTATGCTTGTAGGGCACATGCAAGAATCTTTTAATGGCTCCTTGTCACAGGGCACAAGCAAGTGATCCTAGCTGTCACATAACCAAGAAAATCTTTGCCTTACTCTGTCAGAGGTTGAGGAGAAGCTATTACAGTTCAGGACACTGCCCTCAATAAGTCATGAGACCAAATAAAGCCACAGCAATGTCTTATAATGCTGATGTAGAAATATATCTTTCTGATATGCAAGTGAAAGAAGCAGCAGTGTTTAGTAGTGGTAGTGCCTGGCATAAGGAATACCAGGGATTAGACATTTCCAAGTAGGAGCATTCCCTGAAGCCCCCTGCAGCCCTGAGGGGCCGCAGGCAGGCCCTAAAGCACAGCACAGCTCCCTCCTCAAGAGAGCAGGGTGGTGGTGGCAGCAGCAGGACAGACACTTCAAACCAAGTCTAGAGCGAGGCAACCTCCCCCCTCCCCGGGTGAGTTGGAGGCCCCCAGGTTGCCTCGTGGGAAGCCGAGCTGCAGCCGGCAGGATGCCAGCCCTGGCAACACTGACCGTCTGCTTGAATGACTCAGGCTTCTTGCTACCTTCCCCTGTTCCCAGAAATGACAGAGTGCTATTTTCTACCCATTAAGCCATACGGTTTCAGTGCAGAAGCAGGAAGTTGAGAAAGACACAACACACAGCGGAGGGAGTAGAAAACATCAATATTGAAGGCAGACATTCGAACCCTCTTCATTCAAGTCTTCAGCGGCCACTAGAAGTTTTCACAGCCCCCTGCTAAGCCTACAGCCACGCCACAGGAAATCACAAACAGGTACCAGGAGAAATGCAGACCTGTTTGTTGAAAATCCAGAGTTACACAAGCTTGCTCTGCCCTCTTAGAAAAAATTAAGTAACATATTAATCATGCACAGAACTACCCTGAAAATGGGTAGCTCCTCTATTTACCATAAACACAGTCCTCCAGGCAATTCTCTATCATCCCACCACAACTCTATGAGCAGGAACATCGCTGCTTACTCTTACAGGAATACCTCTGGTTTTCTGAGCAGCAAACCACTGCTATTTTTAAATGTAATATAGACCTGGGGGGACACACGGCAGCAAAGCATTGGAGCCCTCTCCTGAAACTGACACCAGGCTACCACCTCACAGGGGCTGCTCAACCCACATCAGAGCCCCCCACCCATTACAGGACATTCTCTTTTCCTCCTTGGCCTCTGCAGAGAGGACACCCACCAGACTCTGCAGATTATCAGTTACCCCTCTCAAACCGTTAGGGGAATGACAAATCAGTATTTTAACAAAGATGGCCTTTATAGCACATGAATAACAAGCAGAGTGTAGATGACTTAGGGCTGAAAAAGTTTCACTACTTGGTAAAAACACTACTCTGTGCAGTGCAAAAGATCCAACATGTGCACTAGTTCTTGACTGTCCTCAAAAAGCACTGAAATATGATCACTAAAATGTATCAAGTCTCAGTGTTTTCTGTCTCCTCCTCAGTTAATCTGATATAGTAATAGTATTCTTACCACTCAATGTTTGTAGAGTTAGTCTTTCTATTAAAACAACTGATGCAGTTGAAAAAAAATACCCGTTTTCTGGCACAGCAGCACTTCCCACACCTTGCATCTCATCCCTGTATTTACTACAGCACAAAGGAGGTGGCAGCTGCTCCACATTTTAACTCACCTACACTTACTACCTACCAAAACTTACCCTACTTAGACAATTACATTGAACCTTCTGCTCACACAGGTCTCGTAGCAAAGGTGAAAGTACCAAAAGCAAAAAGCACTTTTTTTTTCTTCTCCTTTCAGACAGAGCTCAATAAGAATCAGGGATGACCGTGACAGACCTTGGAGCTGCCCTGGACAGAGAGGGTCTCCCCACTGCTATTGGAGAGGGCTGCCAGATGTGTGTGGCAGAGAAAAGGAGGCAAGTGTTGTCCTTTAATTATTCTCCTATTTCACCGCAACATTAAATTATCCACCTGAGGCCTCCAACAGCTATAGGAACAGGAAACAGAAATCCAGGACAACCATAATGGCTTTTAAACACACGATACAGAATTATTGTTTTTACTCAGGGAGTGCTAGCAGACCTCTTGCTCTACACTAAACAAGCCCATCAATATTAAACGTGCCCATCTCCTCTGAGCACAGACTTGCCTTCCCCTTCCCCCCACGATGCTGCATAAACAACCCCAGCAGCACGGGGCAGGGCTGCAGAACCCCACAGCCACCTCGCCCCTGCCACGGAACCCTGAGAAAGCCCAAGGCCACTCTTTGACAACAACCGCAGTGCCGGAGCGGGCAGAGAGGGCCAGACACCCCCGCGGCGGCAGCACCACGGCGCCGGCCTGCCTGGGGGCTTCCCTGCTGACCCGCCCTCCTACTCCGGAGCGGCACCCACCCCAGCGGACACCTCGGGGACCCTGCCACCAGAGCCGCCACCCCGCAGCTGGCCTACCAGAGGCGGGACGGGTCCCTCTTCACCCGGAGACCTCCTCCTCCTCCTCACATCAGCACCGCTGACCAGCACGTTCCCCGCAGCAAGGGCCCAACCGCCACCCTCAGTCCCGCCCACCGCCCGGGCTCCCTCCGCCCGCTCCGGGCTCTCCCTGCGCAACCGGGGGGACACAGCCCCCGGGGGGCTCACAGCTCCCACGCAGCCCCGCTCCTGGCCCCACGCAGCCCCTCACGGCCCTCCCCCGCGCCCCCCGCCCCTTCCCGCTACCTCAGGCGCTGTCCGTCTCGCGCCGCCGACAGCACCTGCTGCGCACTCCGCGGCGGCCGGTGACGTCAGGCAGAGAGGGCAGAGGCCCCGCCCCTGGCCGCGCGGAGCGGGCGGGGAGAACGAGGAGGGGGCGGGCACGTCACAAGCCCCGGGCCCCGCCCTGGGGGGCGTGCCCACATGTAGGGGCGTGGCCTCGCGGCCTGCCCGCCGTGGGGCGGCGGGGGCCCGGACGGGCACGGACTCGGGGGGCTTGAGAGCCGGGGTGCGGGGCGCGGCTGAGTGCGAGCGGGAGCAGCGGCCGCTGCGGGGAGCCAGGGCCGAGGCGGAAGCGGGGGGGCTCGTCCCCTGCCAGTCGGGGACCTCCTGCTGCGGCTCCCGCCCTCGCAGCCCTTCCGCGCAGGGCTCGGCGCCTCCTGCTGCTGGCAGCACGCGGCCGTGGGACGGGCGCCGGGAACGCAGTTGCTGGGGTTTGCCCTGATAAAACGGGTCAGGGACACAGGTCAGAGTGTGAAATGGCCACCCCTGCCCTGGGCGCGTGGCAGTGACTCACGGCGGTGACAGCCACCCGCGGCGCGAGGCGGTCCCTGGCGGGCGGGCCGCGGGGCTGGGGCCTGCAGTGGCACCCGGGGCTGGGGGCCGGCGATGGCCCACGGGGGGTGACCCTGCTCCCGCACTGCCGGGCGTGCCAAAATCAGCTTCCTTGTTCCCTGCATTGATTCGTAAATCTAATCAGACCAGTTTAATACTGGGTCCCTAGTGAGGCTCAGCCAGGAAGATGTTATTCAAATGACGGTGGGACACGCTCCATGCTTGGGCAAGAGAAAAGACACGCAGCTGCCGCTGCTCTACGTGAAGAACCCAGCACCGTAAGTGCCTCCTAAATGAAAGCCTCTGGCTGACGGGGCTGAGGGAGGCATCAGAGAGCCCTTTCCACGCAGCCGCCTGCCCTGGCAGAGGCTGGGGTTTCCTAGCTGCAGGGAGAGAATCGCCAACCCGCTGCCCCCCAGCTCTGCTGCCTCCCTTCGTCTTTCAGAACCTCCCACTCTGTAAAATGGGAGAAAACTAAGAGAACAAAACAAAACAAAACATTCCTCTGGGTTATTTTGTGCCGCGCAAGTGAGCCCAAGCGACTGGCACAAAGGGGGTGAGGAACAGGCCTACTGCTGCTGAGGGGAAGGCACCCCATGCCTGGGTGCCAGGAGGGGCTGCTGCTCTGCTCCTGGGAAGCTGCAGACACATTCTCCTGCACGGCTCCCTTTGTCCCATGACATTATTTACATTTGCATTTGTAAATGATACTGCCTGGCCAGGTACTCTGCAGCAGACACAATATACATTGTTCCACTGGTTAACATTAAACTTGTCTTGTCCTTTACTCCAGTGCCAATTATCTTGTTAAACATTAACTGAGAAAGCAGCTTGAAGAACACTGCTTGGCTTCATTAAAATCTAAATATAGCACTTGATGCTTAAATCTGTTTATTACCCACTTTGCACTTACTTCAAATATTAATACAGTCCAGGTGTTATCACTCTTTTTAGCGCTCCAACAGAAATTATATATTAATTTCTAGGTGCAGATATCTTTACTGTACCCTGGAAGTGAGGCTGGGATTTAATGCCATACAACAGCTTGGGATTTAGCTCCTACAAAGAGAAGACAAGCCAGCTGTCCCCTGGGATGAGAAGAGACAGGTCTCCTGTTGAGCAAGGACATGTGGAGGGTACAGTCACCCAGTTTCCATCAGGTGTGTCAGCACATCCTCAGAAGTTAGCTAAGAGGTGGTGGGAGCATTCTGGAGGTGTTACACATGTAGAACTAAAGTTTCACGTGAGCTCCCACACAGGCCTGCTATGCACCTGTGTCCAAGTACGACGTGGCCCACACTGAGTCACAGCCGAGGGCAGGAAACTTCCTGATATACACTAATATGATCGTTCAAAAACGTTGTCTGAGATGCTGGAAGACAAACCAGCTTTTGCACCTGTGAAATCAGCCCCCTTTACACTTTTCTTTTACCAGTGATTTTCTCTCTTGCTTTGGCAGACATGGGAAGGGAGACGTGAATCCTGTTTACTTGAAAATCCATGCTGCCTGGAATGTCAGGTTTAGCAACATTTATCTCCCCCAGCCCTTCCTGGGCTGGCAAACTCAGTGGCCCTGATCTGCTTTTGTCTTTGATGTTTACTTTTTTTTTTTTTTTTTTTTTTTTTTTTTTTTTTTTTTTTTTTGTTCTGATTGCCTGAAAGGCACAAGCCAGAGGGAACAACTTGACCTTGTAGAGGGTGGATGCAGAAGCTGGACCCACACAGCATGTCAAGCTGCGGAGAAGAGGTGAACCATAAGAAAGGGAATAGCAGAGGGCAGGACCAGAGTTCTTGCTGTGGTTGCTTGCCCCCATTCTTGCTGCCTTTTGCACCTCTTTCCACACAGTCATTTGTTTAAACCTGTTGCAAAAGCCTTGTGAAACACCCCACTGTCTTGCAAGATGGTTCTGTGAGACTACAGTTGCAGGCAAGGCAGGGCAGTTTTGAGTTTTGCTGCCTATTGGTTTTGGCAGAAGTGTCTGCATGGCAGAAGAGATCAGGGAAGAGATCTTGGTCCATCTCCACACTCCCACCAGCCTGTGTGTTCATTCCTACTGCTGCATTAATATTTGAAGTAAGTGCAAAGTCAGTGGATCTGCACTCTCTGTGCTGAAATCCCAAGGCCTGCCTGGGACAAAGGTCTTTCTTACCCATCACCTTTACTATCAGGAAATTTTTCTGACTTGATAAAAACTAGCAGTTTAAAAGTTTAGGTCCGTAATTTCTTTCAGGGACACAGATGGCTTTAGAAGGAGGTATTTGCCTGCTCTGCCAGGAGCTGTGCCCGGGTGTCTGATTCGAATCAACTGAGCGCTACTGGCTCTGGAAGTGGATGGGGCTGGTACTCCTGATGGCAAACCACGGTCCTGTGAGCAGAGAAGCAGCAAAACTGCCAGGCTGCAAAACCCAAGTACTGGATGGTCCAGCCTGAGTCATCCTGGCATGATGCTGTTAAACAGAGACAACATCCCTTTACATCTTGCCAGCCTCATCTAGGTGACTCTAAACCCTGTTCTCTAAAGTCTGTTCTCTGTGACAGACAAGTGGTGGTTGTTCATCCCTCCTTCCTCAGGATGGGTTCTGGTGTGTCTCCCGCTGACTTGTGAAACCCTCCAACTGCTCCTTGTGTCAGTTGCCCCATCTGGCAGTGAAATGGAGGATTACCAGCAGTGTCTCCCTCTCTCCCTTCCCCTCTTCAAGGGGCTGGGGAGCACCACATGCTAGAGCAGTGCAGAAGGGTTACATTGCTCGCTGTGTCCTCACCCAGTGCAAGATGGTCCTGAAGCTGATCTGCTCTTCTGCCCTCACATCCCAGGGCTCTGTGTCCTTCCCAAGCTGCTGCCTGGTACTGTGTCTCTCTGAAGACTTGAGTCTGTGCTCTTTGGATCTCAGCGTCTTTGGATCTCTGCCTGCTCCATGCTCATCTCTCATTCCCACCCAGTAAAGTACGATTTATGCTGGAAAATATGATAAGAAGGCTGTTGTGTTTGGGTATGTGAAAATAAAGCATCATCAAGGACTAGTCTGATCACTAATGGAAAGAGAGCAGATCACCTGGCAAGGCCTTAGGCTCAAAGACCCTCATGGTGAAGGTGCCTACTGCAGAGGCAGCTAGAGCCATAGCTTTGCTCCTGCTATATCTTTGGGATGTATCTCAAATGCATGGATGCTCCTGCACTCCAGTGGCTAGTAGAAGTAGATACTTTTGCTGTGCCGTAGTTTCCTATCTGCAAGAAAAGACTGAGCATGGGGCACCCCTGAAAGTGTGGGTTTCAACTCACCATCGTTTAGGTGAAGAGACTTGAGGCTGGGTGCTGTTGAAAGGCCAGTGTCATTTGTGCAGGAGAAAGCATGCAGCAGGCTGTCACTGAGGGATTTGGGCAGAGAAACCCTGGTCGCTCTCAGGGGGATGGTTTAGTCCATTGTTCCTACAGCAATCAGAGCCGAGGGAGCTGATAAGGAAATACATGTTACCTCCTTGACAGAGTGCTCTGCAGCAGCTGAAGCAGAGCACATTTCAGTTCTGCTGACTCTCCTCCAGAGGTGTTTAAGCCACAGGAAACCAAGACGCAGCAACAATAAGCCATTCCTGAGCTGGCCTGACTGCAATTCGATTGAGGGTTGACAGAGCAGATGTGGGCTGCAGAAATCTTGCCTTTGTTCAGGCCACAGGGTGCCTGTGTGGTTTCCTCCAGGAGCCCTGAGCAGCACCAGAGAGCCTGCAGGGACTGCAGGGAAATGTGGAGAGCAGGAGGGCTGCGAGCCTTGGGTGCAAAGGAGTGGAGAAGGCATGGGAATTGTCTCAAGGTGATCTTTGTGGAGCCAGAACAACTTCCAGCCAGATAGCTAGGGGAATTCACATGAGGGCATGGGATTTGCAGATCTGTCATATTTGGAGTACCTGATGCCCATGATGCTGCTCTGCAGGACATACAGGCTGCTGGGAGGCCAGGCAGCAAATGCTGTAACACCTGTAGAGGGGAATTGTCCTTGAGATGTGCTATTTTAAGAGGGGCCTCACAGGTGAGATAACTTCTTGTTGCTGTAGTCCAGGCTCTCATAGCAGGGCCATGTGGATCTAGCCCTCCAAGGGGCCAGGATTTTGATCTCCCATCAGGATCCTCTTTCATTACTCTGCAGGTGAGATAACTTCTTGTTGCTGTAGTCCAGGCTCTCATAGCAGGGCCATGTGGATCTAGCCCTCCAAGGGGCCAGGATTTTGATCTCCCATCAGGATCCTCTTTCATGCTGAACACTGCACAGGCTGCAGGGAGAGGCCTGGGGTTGGAA